GGAAAGAGAGGGCTGCTCTGGACTTGGAAACTTCCAGGATACCTGTGCCCCATTCATTGACTAAATTGGGTCATGTGCCCACTCCTGAACCAGTCGCTGTAGCTGGAGGGTTGGTTGCTGCGTATAAGGCCGCAGGTCCTGCCCTCTATAGCCAGGCTGGAGTCACTCTAAGGCACGGCTGCCTAAATAAAAATTGGGTTGGGTAGGAAAAAAAAGAGGGCATGGGGGAGACAAATGGCATCATCCCTATTTCACAGATGAGGAAATGGAGGCCCCAGCACGTGACTTCCCCTCTCTCAGCCCACACAGGCTGGTCAGCGGCAGATGTGGGTTTCAGCCCCCTGGAGACCCTCTTCTTTCCTTTCTGTCTGCCCATTTCTCAGCTGAGGCTGTGCGTCCCTGGACGTGGCTGTCCTGACAGTGGCCAGAGCGAGCCAGACACCCTCCCTCAGATGCCCAGCGACTGCCCCCAGTGCTTGGATTTACTGGATCTGGAACAGCATCAGGTTTTCAGGGAGGCATTTTTATTTTGCCCTAAAAGCCTTCCAGGGGGGACACAATTCCTAAGGGCTCGGCTTTAATGTTTTCTTTTATAGAATCATTCAAATTATAGATGGGTGAACTCGAGGAAACCCCGCTAAAGAATGCAGGAAAGCCGGCATTAAAAGCGACTAAGGTAAAGTAGTGGTGAGTGGAAGAGCTCGCTCTTTTAAACATTTGCTGTTAAACAACCAGAGTGAACCCCCTGATGCTGATCTGGTCCTTCGGAGGCCGGGTTTCGGGACATCTGGCCCGTCTGGAGGGCTCCAGGTGAAGCTGATTCCAGATGTGGATGGGCCCAGGGCCTTCAGAAGCACTGCTTTCGCTGACCTCTGACTCTTCTCACCCAACTTGCAGGCACCATATTTGTTGTGGTTAAACAGCCTCACCTGGATTCAGATTCAGCTTCCTTGCTTCCAAGCTGGGTGTCCTTGGGCAAGTTATTCAGCCTCTCTGAGCTGTTTTGTCATGAGTGAGATGGGCTTTCTTTGTCCTCTTGCTTTACCTTCCTTTGGAATACTTATCACCACCAGATGTGATGTTAAGTATATACTGGCCAATGGTCTCATCGTTGCCGGAGCTGGTAGCCTGTTCTAGGCCCCCGTCACACTCGACCCGCCCGCAGAGCACAGGACACTATGGCTGCTTCATCCGCCTTCTCCCCCAGAATCCAGAGCCCCATATCCTCTCGGCATCCCCCTTCCTCCTGTTCAAGCTCCTTCCAGATCCTTCCCCGCCGGGCACTAGTGCACAGCCTCTGCTGCATTCCCCGGATCTCTCAGGCGGAGACAGGGCATCTGGGCTCAGTCCTCACGTTGCTTGTCCAGCTACACACTCTCCCCACGGCGCGTGCGTCCAGTCTCCACACCGGCCTGGACCGCTGCCCTTAGCTGGTGGCTAGTGAGCACTTCCGGCGTGCAGAGCTCTGCTGGGAGGAGCATCTGTGTGTTGAGTGGCAGAGGTGGGGCGTGAACCCAGGAAGGCGGGCCCCGGGCCAGAGCGCGTCTTGGCTCCAAGGCTGTCTCTCCCCCTAGATCAGGAGCCAGGCCTGAGCTGGGATGTCCTGCTGTCCCCTGCCCGTTTTCCTCGTGCGTCCGGTGGGGATTTCAGAGAGGAGCTGCTCAGTCGCACTGTTTTGTCCTCTGTCCTCCACTTCCCAGGTCTTCTCTCCACCCCTAACCCTCCGCCTTGGTTTCCCCACCTCCTGAAGGGTACATGGGGCCTCCCTGTACATTTTTATCACAATTTCCTGTGAATCTGTAATTATTCCACAACAAGACACTGAAAATAAAATAAATTCTAAAGACGGACTTCAAAATGAACCATCGAGGGTCTGAGGGTTTCTGGCCTCCTCTGCCCTCACTGCCCCCCGTCCAGTGCCTGTCACGTTTTCCTGCGCTATTCCGTCGCCTCTGCCCGGACTCGCACTTGCAGCCTCGCCCCCTGCAGTTCAGTCTCCAGCAGTGGCCTGGGTTGGTCTTTTACAAACAATTCCAGCTGCCCACTCCTCAGCCGAACACCCCGTGGTTTCCACTTCATGCAGACACAGGGTGTGTGTCCTGGGACTTAAAGCAGCAGAGCTTTATTCTGTCACAGTCAGGAGGCTGCAAGTCCAAAACCAACGTGTCCTGGGCCACACTCCTTCCAAAGGTGCCAGGGAAGAGTCCTTCCTGGCCTCTTCCAGCTTCTGGCGGCCATCGGTGTTCCTTGGGCTCTGTCTTCACAAGGCTGCCATGTGTGTGTGTGTGTGTGTGTGTGTGTGTGTGTGTGTGTGTGTGTGTGTGTACATCTCCGTGTCTTCACGTGACCTTCTAAGGACACCAGTCATTGGATTAGGAACCACCCTAGTCCAGTATGATCTTAACTAATTACATCTACAAAGATGCTATTTTCAAATAAGGTCACATCCTGAGGTTCTGGGTGGACATGAACTTGCGGGAGTAAACGGAATGAAGGTAGAAGGCTCGCTGATGCCCCCAGGACCCTGCGTTGCTTCTGCCCCCTGCTGTGCCCACCACTTTTCCCCTGAACTCCCCCGGCCCTCTCACCCTTAGTCTCTCCTCCAAGAGGAGGCCAGTTTTCTCACTGCCCGCCCCGCCGCCACCTCTGGGCCTTTGCCTTTGCAGTGCCCCCTTCCCTCCCTCCCTCGCTGTTACCCACCTCTCTGCTCAAGGGTCCCTCCGCGCAGAAGGTGGCAGTCACTTGGGCTGCTTGTGACTGTTCCCACCCCCCTGGGCACCAAGCGGGACTGACCCCACCCTTTGAATTTCGGTGGATCACATGACCTGATTTGGCCAATGAGATGCGAGTGGAACTTCCACCAGCTGGAGTCCTTCTGCAGACCTCAGCATCCTCCTACCCCTCCCCTGCTCCGTTTGTCTCCGCACACGTATCGCCACGGGCTCCCTGCCCTGCGAGTTTCCTGGCCGCCTTCCCCACCAGTGGGCGCACCCAGGGGCCAGGGAGTTTTCTCTCTGTGGTTCCCACCATGTTCCAAGCTCCTAAAGCAACCTGGCGTAGGGTCAGAGCTGAGGTCACACTTGCAATGGACGAGTGGTGGGCGCGCGGATGGATCGTGGGCCTCGGATGAAAGCCCTTCCCACTAACCACCTCTCCTGTAACCGCTCCTCTGTGCATTTGCCTCCTTCCTGTCTAGGGCAGAGCATCAACCCCAAGTTGGCAGGCCTGATCGGGCGGCAGGGGCCCCAGAACAAGCAGCCCTTCATGGTAGCCTTCTTCAAGGCCACCGAGGTCCACCTCCGCAGCACCCGCTCCACGGGGGGCAAGCAGCGCAGCCAGAACCGCTCCAAGACACCCAAGAACCAGGAAGCCCTGCGGGTGGCCAACGTCGCAGGTACGCCTGCGGGCGGGAGGGTTAACACATGGACACCCGCCCCCCCCAACAGGAGCCCACAGGGGGCCCCCAGCTGGGGTGGGACTCAGAATCCATGCATGTGCTTGACAGATGGTTCTGGAACCAATGCAGCAGGAAGCACACCCCACAGAATCCCTTCCACCCCAGAGCTCACCATCTTCCGGGTGTAAATTGTGTCATAAATTCATTTCGAAATGCAAGTAGCAAAGCATGAGTATAACAAGATGCCAATCGTGTAAATTTCTAAGTGGACAAAACAATAGCTACAAATAAATGGAGGGAGAGAGGCTGCTGCCCTGGGAAGCAGGGAGGAGGAAAAGGGGGGAGTTTGCTGCATCTTTAACTTTACTTCTTCAAGTGAAAAACATTTGAAACTCATGGCAAATTTTAACACTTGTTGAATACGGCTGGTACGATTTTCCTGTGGAGCCGTCCCGGCTCTGGGTTCGTCGTGAGCTGGGAGAGGCCTGGGGCTGGTTGGAGAAAGCGTGGAAGGGAGACATGGTGGGTGTTTAGAAAGGTGATGGCGAGGTGGGAAAGGGGCCGCCACCCTCAAATTCACTTATATTGTCAATGGCTTCTTCTGCCTTACCTGGACAATTTTGAAATTTCTGTTCATTTTCCCTTTCGAGAAAAAAGAAAATTACAGTTACTGCGGTTGGTGACGTTTTTGAGAGCAGGGCATCCTGCTGGGTGGGTACTAGTGGGTACGTGTGGCTTCAGAGCTTGTGTGCAGAGCTTTTGAATCTAAAAGGATCTTTAGATTCTTTTCTGGCAGGTGCATCCATTCTTCTTTAGGCTGCTCCAAGGGAATCTGTGATCCCCAAATGAAAACCCAACTGAATCTCTTCATTTGTATTAGGAGCCTCCTCTGCGCTGGGCTCTTGGGGGCTGGGATTCACCAGTGAAAGCCCAGCCGTGGTGCAGAGATGATTCAGGATGGGCAGGAGGCTGCCATCATTCACAGCCACGCTGACACCAGGCCCGGGAGTTGGAACGTGGTGACGAGGGACTCTTGAGGGGGTGGTTCAGAGAAGACTTGCCAGCTGAGAGCTCCGAGGCGAGCTAGTGCCCCAGGGGCCAGGCCGGGCGGGCAGGAGGCCAGCGCTGCAGGCAGTGGGACCCGCAGGTGGAGGGAGTTTTCGTGGCAGCTCTGGGAGGGAGGGTGGAGGGGGGCAGGCCATGTGGCTGGGCTGGGGAGTGAGCACAGTCCTCAAGTGTCCTCTCGGGAGCCACATCTTGAGTTTGAATTTCATCCAAAGCAAATTTGGAAGCCTTTGCAGAGTTTCCAGCTATGATTCGGGGTGGGGTTGATAAGAAGCTCATTCTGGCTGCTCTGAGAATGGTGGGGAGCAGGGCGGGGCACTCAGCGAGGGTTGGAATAGGAAGATTTATGAGAGGCTTTTCTATATCAATCAGGCAGGAAGGGCTAGCAAACGTCATCCCCGCGGAGACTCCCGTGGCTCGGAGGTCTGTCAGGTGTTAACGGTCTCACCAAGGTAGTGAAAGGGGAGGGACTGGTCTCAAAATCTTAAAATTGGACACTCAGCTTCCCCCACTGCATCCTCACCAGACCCCCATCAAGTCTCCACTTACATAACCCCAGAGGACGGAGCTCTCACTATTGCACGTGGCAGCTGTTCTACCTTGCCTGGGATCTACTCCCTAGCCCTGTTTGAAGTTCACCTAAACCCTGCCTGGAAGTTTAATTTTAAAAGAATACCGAAGCCTGGGCCCTACTGCAGGATTGGTAAACCAGAATCTCTGAGTGTGTGTTTGTACACACATGCCTGGTTGAAGTGCTTTGCCTCCTGTGATGAGCTGGGAATCCTGCTGCAGGGCCACACGAGTAGAATCCTCTCTCCCGTGGCAGCCCTTGTGTGCTGGAGAGACACGTCCTGTAGGCCAGCCCCACCCCGCAAAGGCCTTCAGCTGCTCTTCAGACCGTGGGGTTTGGGGTGAGAAACTGGGTCCCTCACCTCCCTTCCACTTGCCTCTCACCCACGACTGGACCCAACTCCCTAGTCATTAGCCATTTTCACCAGATGACCCATGGGGGTGGGAGCTGAGTCCCAGCACCGGTGGTAACTTGTCAGCTGCTCTGGCCGGGCTTGCAGAGGTGGGTGAGCAGCAGCCTCTCCACTCCTGCTTGCCTGCCTGCTGCGGCCTGGGATGCGTGGGCAGGGCAGGAGGGACAGGGGAACTAGGATTCTGCTTCTTGAGCATCTCTTTTCTTCCCTTTCCTCGTCTTTCTGCTAATAAGAGGTCAGAGTGAAATAGGAGTTCCAACCACTTCTTCCTGGAGCAGCCACGTTCCAAGGAGGCCTGAAGGACCCAGGTGTCTGAGGTCCCTGATGGCAGGGCCAGGGCCCACCCGGTACTGATATGCCCACAACTAGCTTCATGAGCTGCTCTTGTCCTTGGTCTGTTGGGCCTTGGGCTTCAACATGAAGCCACATATCATTGCTTTGTTTTCAGACAGGGCTGGGAAAAGTGGCAGTAAGGTCCCTACTCGTCCTTCCTGTGCTCATGGCAGACATTGCTAATCAATCCTGGCACATTCTTCTCACTGAGCCCACACGAAGCTTCAGATCCTTCTTTACTCAGGGCAACAAACAGCCAGCAGTGTTGGCCCTCCACACACAGCTTCTTTGCCACATCCCTGGCCTAGGCTAACGTGCTCAGACCTTTGTCTCGTTCAGGTTGCTTCACACAACGTCACTGGGCTGAGGGCTACTCCCCCGCTCTCCCCTCTACCTTCTGCCTCCCTACAGGGAAGGAGGGGAAGAAGGCTTGTGGGGTGGCCGCCTGGGGCCACAGGCATGGCCACAGCAATGGAGGCCTTCCTGGATTTCCACTCAGTGTCTGTGCCTGCCATATGGCACAGTGAATGGTCCAGGAGGTTCCTGGGCTCGCCTCTGATGGTTCCCTTGACCTTGACCTTTGTATATCAGTGACCACCTGGCCCTCCAGCAGCCCTACTACCCCTGCAGCTGGTTTTCTCTATCTCAAGGCCCCCAGGCTAGGTCCCAAAGTGGGGAAGGTGGGGCCCAGGACTCCCCATTCCTGC